ATTTTATTCCTGAGCATAGGTACAAAAACCCTGGACAGTATTAGAAAACTGTATCTAGCAATGTATGTTTTAAGCATACATATATGATATATATATCATTCAAATACGGTTCAGTATGCTGTCCCAAGGACCTAGGTTATTTGAAAATGAACTGTCTCTACCTCAGCCTCACAGTACAGCATGGACATTTGGGTACAATACTCTAGATGACTTTGAAGATGTGTGCTATCTTGCAGTAGTTTTCTAACCAAAGTATTCCGTAGAAGTAGACTTGGGCCAGCTGGTTTTCTTTGTTTTAAAGAGTCTCTTTGAAGCAGAAAATTAAACTCCTCTTAAAAGGTTTTGCTGTTAACTAAAGAGTTCCATTTCTATGTCAGACAGTGCTCTGACACATGAAGAAAACAAGCAAATCGATTATGTAAATAGGTAGACAGCTTATGAAACACAGACCAATGACCCTTGGCGTTCAGAGGATCAGTGTTGTAAAACATAGATACTTCCTGACAGCTCGCACACAGGCTCTGTTATCTGCAGGGAATCCGTATATATTGACTCAACATTTAAACTATATGCAGAGATAACATTCATAACAATTTAGGAGTGTAAGGTATTGTAAATGAATATTTATCCTAACAGTCATTATATAGGTATGGAGGAGTTGTGTGGCCACTAAACATTTTCTTTTCTGTTGAAATAAAATCCTAAAAGGAGAGAATAAAATGTAAACTTTATTGGCACAATCGTTACTAATAAAAGACAGCCATAGACATCTCTCTGAAAGACATTTGACTGAACATGTATAATTATCACGTATCCCACAAGGATAATACAGCAAAGCAGCAGCAACAGCAGCCGAGTTTATATTTGAACATCTCAGAGTACCCATTTTTGTATTTTCCACTACTTCAGGATGGACAGTACCATATGGCTTCCACATAAGTGAACCTGTTACTAATAAACGAGGACTGATGTGTCATTACGTTTTCAGTGATTCCTCTATGAAACACCCTGGGTTATTTTACATGGAAGCATCTGGTTCACATGTGTACAGTGGTTATTCTGTGGTGATTGACAACTGTATTCCTCTAATAAAGTCCCAATTGCACAGATGTGAGCTCTTACCTTCTTATACAGACAAAATCTGCATTTGAAAAATCCTTACCTCAATTCCATATATGAACATCTCAATTTCCTACACATGCGCACACATACAACACTTTTACTGTGACTGGAATATAATGTAAGCATTTCATGCAGTGTATTTCAATTGTTGAACAGATGTATGTCGGCATCTTTATCTCTTTTTATGTTTGTTTATACCATGACATCTGTTTTAGATTGTAAGCTCAAAGAGGGTAGTGACCATGTCAATTTAATATTATGCAGACAGTGTCCAGTGGAGCATAATTCACTTTCAAATGCTTACTAAGTATTGTCAATCAAGGTGGTGATGTTAATGACTTTAAGGAAAAATAGAGCTTATAATCTGACTTTAAGCACACTTTTCACTTTAAGAAACGTTTGCTGTAATTGGCCCTGCTTTCAATTTCACACGTTATAATTACCCAGGGAACACATAAAGCTGTGTTGTTTTGAACAGAATTAGTTTACTTTATGTTAGAATAATTCTTTAATGATGTGTGGTATGAGATCTCAAAGAGGCAGAGTTCGGGCCCTGGCCAGATAGCTCCATTTGTTAGTGTCATCCCATACACCAAGGTTGTAGAGTTGATCCCCTATCAGGGCACATACAAGAATTAACCAATGAATGCATAAGTAAATGAAACAACAAATCAATCTCTCTCTCTCTCTCTCTCTCTCTCTCTCTCTCTCTCTCTCTTCTCTCTCTAAAATCAAGTTTTAAATAAAGAGGCAGAATTCAAGGCAAATTTCATAAGGGATGTGGCATTTTAGCTGACCCTTCAAATGTAGGTAGGTTTGGGGCAGGAAATAATGAAGGGAAAGGCATTTGAGGCAAAGGAAAAATGGGAAAGGAGTCATGCCTTGGTCATTTATAAATTGTGAGACCTTAGGTGAGTGAGTCATTCAAATATCTAAAGTTTTGGTTTCTCATCTGGAAAATAGAGACCATAACAGGACATAGGGTTATTGTGACAATTACATGAATAAGGAGCTTAACACAGTACCTGGAATAAAGAGAACATTAATAATGTTGCTATTACTCTGAGTGATAGACTAGCAACTTTGAATAGACTTTCAACAGAATTTTGATTGAATTCAAAAAAAGACATATACTAAAATATCAACAAGTGAATGGACAGGATAATTTTTATTTTACTTTTTCTGTTATGAAGTTTTTGAATTTTTTGTAATATGCATATACTACTTCATATACCAAAAAATAAATGATTTTGTTATTCCTTGCATTCATTAGGATTAATATAGGATTTAGAATTTCTGTATTTGAAACCTAGTCTTCTTCTTAAGAAGCAAGTAGGGGAATTCATTATTTCTTTTAACCAAATGTTTATCTTAAGTAGTAACTATTTTATCCAAAGAAACATTTCAACACCCAAAGTAAGTTAAGAAGAGGAGATAATTACAGAACATGTAGTTTCATGACTTTGGATGAAACCTAAAAATTTAATAGATAATTTGTTACACCGGCAGCAAGAAACTAAACAGCTGCTTCCACACTGGTGAACTATCACTCCTGGTCGCCACTTCCTTAGCAATCTCTAACCTCCATCACTGGACATTATTTTCTGCCCAACTTTCCCCTCTTTTCTTGATAGCCAGAAGTAGAGTTCTGCCTTCTTTCTTTGTGTGTTCTTATTTTCCTTAATTGCACCACTAGGTTGTGTTTTTAGTGTTGGCTTTTTTTTCAGGCTAGTAAATATTATATTCATGGGAAAACATACCGGCCGGGCAGGATGATGGACTTTTCAGAATTTATAACAAGTTTGAAAATAAATATTTGTTATTTGTAAAAATGATTAAGCTTCTATTTTGGTTGTGGGGAGAACTCTAAATTTACTCTGTTGACTTACCAGGGATATAAGAACTGTAGAAAAGTGATCTCTATTCATTGAATGCAGTTTGTTGAGCACCTATTATGTACGAGGTACTAAGAACAAAAGAGTCTAAATCTATTTAAGCTCCTCTTGACGTCAGAAGGAGATGGGAATCATAAATGGGGCACCAGGAATCTATTTCCTTCAGACTTGTCACTTCAGAGGGGTCCTTTTGTCTTATGCTAATTTTTAAAAACTAAATGGATCTCTGTGTTCTGGTTGTGCAGTGTCTACAGACTGCAAACAAAATTATACAGGTTTTTCCAGGTCTGACTTTTTAATTGAAATACTTCAATTCTCTATTTTACTAAGGAGAGAAATCAACTCGAGACATTTATGGCCAGAGAAAAATGTTCAATGTGTTTTGAGTTGACATTAAAAACTTATGCATGTATTAATTATACTTTTATTCTGTATTGTATCATTTTATTCTCCTGTGGACTATATTTTTAAATATTTAATTGCATGTCACAATAATTGTGTCCCTCTTTATGGTTATTTTAACATTGGCACTCCCAGAGGGTAGTAGTTGTCATGCACCTTAGCATTTCAGTGAAGGGGATGTTGTCTAAACTTGGCTTGCTCAAGATAAGACAGGACACGCCCCAGGTCTAGTGGCAGCCAACCATGGCTAATCAATTGTATGCAGTCCTGAGGCCAATGAGGGTCCTGTGTGGATTTATTTTTATTAACCTGTGCAGTTAGTATGGGTGTAGGCTTTTTGAAATACTCATAATCTCAAAAGCATCATCAATGTTTGGGGATTTTAAATTGGTTATTCTTTTAAATTAAAGAAGCCATTAGCAGGAGCTCTTTCTTAGTTTACACAATATTAGCAGCTAATATTAATAGTTCAAATGTTTTGTGAGAAGTTATAAGCATTTTCGTGTTTAACACTTTGTTTAAGCTTTAGACTATCTCCGAGGCAGATATTATTATATCCGTTTTCCAGGAGAGAGAACATAAATCCAGTTAGGTTAAATAACTTGCTTAAGGTCACATAGCTAATAAGAAATAGACCGGGGTTCAAATCTATGTGTCCTGACTTCAAGCCCTTCTCTTTCAGCCACACCAAGCTGGGGTGGCTCCTCTGCCTTTGAAGTTAGAAATATTACTCAGTATTGCTGGGTTGACTTTACCTAGTCTTAATTGCCCCTGAAGGCATGTTAATTGTGAATATTAACATATTTTATTTAGGTTCTATGAAGGACCACTGACAAGGTTTATACAAGCATATAAGCTGTTCCTAAGCTGCCCTTCTGATTGAGCTGTTTACCCTGCAGCTTTTTAAGTTTTTTTTAAAATTGGTTTTTGAGACCAGTTAACAGTCAGTGACTATGCCTTTCATCCTAGGACTCAAAAAGAATATTTACATAAATAGAGAGGTCAATTGATTGAGGTAGTAACGGCAGTACTGAAACTGAATAAAATTTGGTTACTAAATGAAGATATGTAGATTATAAGTGTAGATACGAAGATATGTGGATCAACAACTGCTAAAATGTGAAATCATTGTTAGTTATATACACCCACTTATTATCAAATGACCACTAAAGGGAATTCCTGGGATTGGAACTTTCTACTATTGAGATTAAAACACATGTTAATAGGTAGACTTTAAGGGAGGCAAAGGGAAATGAAAATTGGGATAGAATAATTAAAGAAATGGCTTGAGAAACCATCCTTATCTTGGCATAAAAATACTTAGAGAAAGAGCTTATTGTGTGTTTTTACCTTAATCATGAGTATTGTTGTTGTAGGCCCTTGAATTTTTGTGACCCAGAATAGCAACAGGTTAATTCTAAAACAGTTAAAGTAATTAAATTCCTTTCATCTTTCTTTATGTTCTAAAACCAATTCTGAAAGAGGAATTAACTTTTATTTTACTTATGTATCTCTTAATTTTATTTTACTCTATATGGAATATTTTAAAAATAAAATCATCATGATTTTCTTTTTCTCTAGGCTTGATCCTCCACTACCAGAGACTTTGAAAAAGGAGCTCAGCTCAACTGACAACATGTCGTTAGAGACTCTGAAAAACAGTAGTTCCGGAGACCTCTTTGATGAGATTTAACTGTCCCAGAAAAGTGCTTTGATGTTCACTAGACTATGTTTTCTATTCATTTCTTTAAACCGAAAAAAGTGAAATTTCAACTCAGCAGCAGCTATTACTTCATCTTACAATTTAATTACATACACACTGAGCTGAAACCATTGTGCAAAATGGATTACACGTGTATATGAAGATATGATTTGATGACAGTGGTACATTATTCTAAACTATTCATTCAGCATGCCTATAATTATATAAAATCTCACTTTTTGTTGCAAAGGACACATTTATCTTATTCAGTTCACACGTATTACATGTGCGAGCTGTCTAACATCCTGTCTAGGAAGATTTTGGAAATATAACAAATAAAATGTCTACAGGTTTATGTGTTTTTTTAACTACTGTATTCAGAACAATTATGTCTGAGCATTTTATTTGTGGAATGATGTATAAAACCTATTTTTAGTTTGTACACAAACTTAAAATCTGATGATACAATTTCTGATGCATTCAAGATTTCATATTCTTAATAAAATATGTTACTTAGCTTAACTTTTTTCTTTACTATACTAACAGGTCTTCATAAAGTGGTTACTGATACAAATGTACCCCTCTTTTTATTTTTTTAAAAAACAGGGAAATGATTGATAAAACATTTGTTTTACATGTATGGGACCTTCTTTGGTGACAAGGATCTTGTATTCACATTTCATATTCACCTCAATGACATCTGCAACAACTTTTAAAAAAAATTCAGTTCCTACTTTCTAACCTCTCATTTCATCTTCCTCTCTCCAGTTGGATTTCCATTCCTTCCATGCTACTTAAAGTTAAGAGTGACCTCCATGTTGATAAATCTAAAAATTGGTCCATTCTCATATTACTAATCCTTTCAGCAACATTTGATAGTCAAACACTTCTCCTCAGTAAACATTCTCTTCATTTGACTTTTGCCATAATATATGTTGTTTGTGTTCCTTTTTCTTCCTGGCCACTTTTTTTTTTTTAGGCTTCTTGGCTGAGTTCTTTTTGCCTAAAAATCTTCAGTCTTCTTGTTTTATTACTTACATTATCTCCCTAAGTTATCTGTGGTTTTAAATATCATTTATATGCTGATATTTCCAAAATTAGAGTATTAAACTATTGTCACATATATTTATACAGGATGAGGCAAAAGTAGGTTTAAGGTTGTTTGTATGGAAAATAATACAATAATGAGATTGCATTTCTGAAGGTTTTTATCAGCTTAAAATTTATAATTCTTGGCCCTGGCATCCGATAATATGGCTCAGGCTACCTTGGGGAAATTCATGAAAGAAAAGTCACATCTCCAGAAGAGATATCTTATGTAGCATTAAAAGGTCAAGAAACTACTTTAGAAAAGTTTTTCTTTTTTTAATGGTCTATCACTCAAACTTATAAAATACTCCATCATATCTGGCCAGTGTGGCTCAGTGGTTGAGTGTCAACCTATGAACTAGGAGGTCATCGTTCAATTCCCGATCAGGGCCTGTGCCCAGGTTGTGGGCTCAATCCCCAATTGGGGGTATGCAGGAGGCAGCCAATCAATGATTCTCTCTCATCATTGATGTTTCTATCCATCTTTCCCTCTCCCTTCCTCTCTCTGAACTCAATAAAAAACATATTTTATTTTATTTTTTTTATTAAATTTTTATTGTTCAGATTACATTTGTTCCTCTTTCCCCCCCTCCCATAACTCCCCTCATTCCAGTTCCCGCCCCACCCTCCGCCCTCACTCCCCACCCACTCTCCTCATCCATAGGTGCACGATTTTTGTCCAGTCTCTTCCCGAATCTCCCATTCCCCTTTCCCCCCCAAGAATAGTCAGTCCATTCCCTTTCTATGTCCCTGATTCATTATAATCACCAGTTCATTCTGTACATCAGATTATTTATTCACTTGATTCTTAGATTCACTTGTTGATAGATGCATGTTTGTTGTTCACAATTTGTATCTTTACCTTTTTCTTCTTCCTCTTCTTAAAGGATACCTTTCAGTATTTCGTATAATACTGGTTTAGTGGTGATGAACTCCTTTAGCTTTTCCTTATCTGTGAAGCTCTTTATCTGACCTTCAATTCTGAATGATAGCTTTGCTGGATAAAGTACTCTTGGTTGTAGGTTCTTGGTATTCAGCACTTTGAATATTTCTTGCCATTCCCTTCTGGCCTGCAAAGTTTCTGTTGAGAAATCAGCTGACAGTCGTATGGGTATTCCCTTGTAGGTAATTGAGTCTCTTTCTCTTGCTGCTTTTAAGATTCTCTCTTTGTATTTTGCTCTTGGCATTTTAATGATGATGTGTCTTGGTGTGGTCCTCTTTGGATTCCTTTTGTTTGGGGTTCTCTGTGCTTCTTGGACCTGTAAGTCCATTTCTTTCACCAGGTGGGGGAAGTTTTCTGCCATTATTTCTTCAAATAGGTTTTCAATATCTTGCTGTCTCTCATCTTCTGGCACTCCTATAATTCTGATATTAGTCCGCTTGAAGCTGACCCAGAGGCTCCTTACACTATCTTCACACTTTCGGATTCTTTTTTCATTTTGCTTTTCCAGTTGGGTGTTTTTTGCTTCTTCGCATTTCAAATCTTTGGTTTGATTCTTGTGCTCCTCTGGTCTGCTGTTGGGTATAATATTCTTTATTTCCGTCCGTGTATGCTTACTTTCTAATTTCTTTATCGTAGCATCGAGGGTCTCATTAGTTTTTGTGAGGCTCTGCTCAAGTTTATTGCAAGCCCTCAAAATTGCGATTCTTAGCTCCATATCCTCCATTTCTGTTATGTTTTTTTGTCTCCGCATCTTTTATGCTTTCTTGGTGCACCCCCTTGTGGTCTTTGTGCGCAGTCTTGTTCTAGTTAAGCCTTAATTGTTGTAGTTAATACTAGAGGGATTTGACCACCAGGCTGACTGGCTGTGAGAATCAGCTGTATGGAAAACTTCTGTCCTCTGGAGAGGTGCTACTCTAGCCTTTGCCTGAGGCGATCGGCAAATGGCTCTGCGCAGGGCTTGGGCGGGGCGGGATCAACAGGGCGGGGGGGAGGGAGCAGTTATGGCCGCTCTCAGTCCGTCCCCAGAGGCTCTGCCTCTCTGTCCCAGCAACCGCTGCAAACCTCAGAGGGACCGTAGCCAGACAGTCCCGCTTCTCCCGTTTGAGTCTGGGTCCCTAGAGACTCGCCCGGATCTGTAGCCCAGAGTCTGAGACTCCCTCCTGATTGAAAACAACAACCGCGCCCTCAGCCACCAGCCCGCTTTGCGCGCACACCACCGTACCTTTAAATTTTCCACACTGCGCCTCCTCTGGGCCTCGTAATGCTGTTGTTTTTCCTTCTAGTTGAAGAGTCTCTCCTCAGCCAGCCTTCCTGGGGTTCTGGGTGATGTCCGTTCCGTCTTTTAGTTGTATTTTTGAAGTGGTTGTTTGTGGCAGCAGTCTCCGGTGTTTACCTATGCCGCCATCTTCGATTCTCCAGTGATACTCCTAAAAAACATATTTTAAAATAAAATACTTGACCCTGTGTTTTGGAGCTAAGCAGCTCTTTGTTGATTCAGTTTGATTCAACAAATATTTGTAAAGGATCAGGTAGGCACAAAACACAGAACTGGGCCATGCAAAGAATTTAATGATAAATCCATCCATTCACTAAATATTTGTTAAGCATTTGTGGCAGCCCCTGTTCTGGGCACTAGATGTGGCCGTGAATAATATGAGCATTCTGTTGCCATGGAGCTTATGTTCTAGTAAGTGAAATTTGGGGCCTGCTCTCAAAGCGTGGAGTATTGGGAATGGGCTTACGCCCAAAATCACTGTGTAATGAACTGTAATATCAGTAAGTGGTAGGATAAGTGCACAAAGGGAATAATAAGTGTAAAGTTATGAGTAAGGACCTACAGAAGATAAAAGTTCCAATTAAAAGGTTAAGAGAACTTGGAGTAGGTTGAGGAGAGTGTGTTGGCCAGGGGTGTTTAGGAGTGTGATATTAATTTATGTAGTAAGGACATGACAATAATTGAGCTGCATCGTTCTGCCTGACACTTCCTTGGGAAGTCATGGACTGACAGAAAACTTCAGGTCATAGGCCCTTCCTGGACAGCTGGGAATGGACAGTAAGCCTAGTCAAGGGCCCCTTGGTAGATACTGCCCAGAAGAGCAGCTCACCCTCATCCTTTTGTGTCTTGTTCTTTCACTCAGCACTATTTATAGAATTCACTTTTAATAAAATGAAGCTAACATCTAAGTTCATGTAAGGCCTCATGAATTTACCTATAAATCAGGAAATAAAAAAAATAGGTAGTTACTTTTTGTTAAGAGTTATAGAACCACAAAAGAACTATTCATGCATCCATTTGTAGCTACAGTCTGAATTTAAAATTTTCACTGCTGATCTGACAGCTTCTAATATTTGCAAGTAGTTTAGTGGTAACCTGAAATGATTTTCTCTGTATTTTAATAACTGGAAAAGGATACCTTGAAAATTACATGACAACAAGCATTTTATGGTTGCTTCATAACTGACCACCCACCATCTCCTTTTCTGACTCCCAACTCTCTGACCAACTCAAATTAAAACATTCTCCAGCCTACATTCTACTCATTTTTCCCTTTCAAATGTCCACATGTCCTCTCTTTTACCAACCTTTGTCCTCACTTTCTAACTTTTCTCCCCTCTATTTGAATAATATTTTTTTCGACATGAATTTTATTGTTTACGTTAATTTTTCTTCCTTCAGGGCTTTCATCTCATAGTGCCACAGAGAGCTATACTTTCTGAGTGAGGGTCTCTGTCCCTAAAGGCTCTTGGTTCTCTAGGAAAGGAGAGAGATTAGAGCTCTGCACCCATCTTGATAGCAGCTATTCCTATTAGGTGCAGGAGCAATTTTGGTGGCCACTGTTCCAGTAAACAGAATATAGACTGGTCCTGAACGACTCACTTTTGATTTAGAAAGAGTCTCCAACTTAATTACTATCTGAAAAACAACACAGCCAGTCAAATAAATTATAGGTAGATTAGACAATATTTATGGAACTTGCTCATACAAGACACTCCTAGGAATTGGTCTTGCTCTGCATTTCTCCAGCAGCCGAGCCTAAGCCAAGGGTTTGCATGCAGTCAATTTATTTGGGAGTGTGATGCAGGCAGTGGGAGTGCTGGACAGAAACCATAAAAAAGGGAAGGAGGAAAAGCCAGTGTAGGGAGACCTTATCAAGGCAGCCAGCCCCATGGATGGTGCATGCTCCACCCCACCAGGATCTTCTGAAAGATATCTTGGAACCATACACTCAAGAGTGAAAGAGACAAGCATTTATCCATTCTATTAGTAGGACTGATGGGTGATTCTGAGTGGGGTCATGGGCACCCATTTCCTGCAGAATGCTGCTCATAGGCACCTTTGGAGGAATTACTGTCGCTCTCCTCACTAATGCACTGTCCTTGTACCTCTTTCTGGAGGCTGTAGGTGCAACTGTTGTGTTGGAAGCAGAATGTACATTTCTTCCCTAAGGCCTCAACACTTGGTGCAGAGGTACCAGCTCTGCTTCCCAAC